TGCTGTTGATAGAGGGAGAAACGGCCGGGCTTCGCTCTGGCGTTCCTCGCGAAACACGCAGGAAAAAAGAAAAAAAAAAGAAAGGAAAACTCGGTGAAAGTAAAGACCCGCCAGTTAATTAGCGATGTTGTTGTTACGCTTTGCAATAGCGTAACAGAATGAATCGCCGCGGACAGGGCAAATCTGCGGGCGCATCAAGACAGCCGAAACGAGCGCGCGAAAGTGATAAGAAAAGAAGAAAAACAAACGAAAACAATGAACGCGCTTGTATACAAGAAAGCGCGGTCGAAAGGGCGCTTTGGGAGGTGATGCAAAGTATGGGAAAGGGTAGAGGGGGAGGGGGACGCACGTGGAAAGAGCTTTCACTCGCCGGCGTCCTCATGAATGTTTTCTGCTGCTTTGACTGGGTCGCTTCTCTGCATTCGAGCTCCGCAAACACGAAGATCTTCATTGTTCGTCCCGCAACGTCTTATCTTTACATCCTCTCAAATTCCCTGACTCCCGTACATATAATTCCTTCGTTCCGTCCTCGTTTTCTTGTTCTTCTATACCCATTTCTCGTTGCTTCGCTTGTTTATTGCGTACTCTCTCCTTCTCCCATTATTTTTTTTCTTTCTTCAAACGCGTGAACATTCTCAGGCGAAGCGAGTGCTGTCAAAACGCGTGGAGTGTTTTGCATGACAATGGGATTGGACTTGAAAGGAGGGGAGGTAAAGCCGCGCGCCGCGACGAAGAAATGCCAGGTCACTTGCTTCCGTTCACTGAGAAATAAAAAAAAGACCACAAAAAAGGGAAGAAAAAGAGAACGAACTACGACTGCGAGGTGAATAATAAAAAAAAGAAAGGAAGAAATAATCAATGAATGAATAAAAGAAAGGAAAAGAAGTGCAGTTGCTGATCGTGCGAAAAAAGAAGATTCGCAGGCACGCAACGTCTTTGCTCGAGTGGAACGGCGATACCGAAAGGGGCAGCCATAATCGAGCGGCAAGAACAACAGATGTGCGCGAAAGACACGAGAAAGCTGGGAAACGACTTTTGTTTATTCTTTTTTCTCACGTAGAAACAAAGGGGGAATGCGGAAATGACAGCGACGGAATAAACTTGTCCCTTTGTAGTACAAAAGAAAACTGGGACTTTGCTGCACGGTAAAAAAAAAAAAAAAGAGGAACGAAAGAAAAACAAAGCGTGAAGAAAGATCGGGCAAACCTTGGAATCAACAACGTGAGTATATTGCATACACACGCAACGTCAAGAATAAGGAAATAGTTGAATGTAAGCGCGGCATTTGCTTCATCGCGAGAAAAAGATGTCTCCCCCCCATTCAGCTTCTCCGAGAATGGCTCGTCGAACGACGATCGGCTTTACATGAAGCGGTAACTCGCGATGACGTTAGGAAAGTCCCTGCTTTTTTACTACAACTCTCGCTCGCATTTTCCCTCTCCTTCGCCATCCTCTCGCGCGTACTCTCTTACTCGCCGTTTCACTCCTTTTATGGAGTTTAGTTTTTGTGCGTGTCGTCTTCGGTTGTTGAGGGAATGAAATATGAACCTCGAAGAAGCTCAAAAGGAAAAGAAAAAAAAACGAGAAAAAAAAGGAAGTGTGACGTTTCGTGCAAATAGAACTACGGCTGCTTGCGGTGATCTTTTTTCCTTACCTTACGTTTCCTTTTTTTTTCTTTTTGGGTGAACTTCCTTTCTTCGTTCCTCTTCAACGGGGTTGATTTATCTACCTTTAACGGTTTCAAAGCTAAAAGGCGCAGTTCGCTTTTGGGTCCTGAGGGCCCTTTCGGTGGGTGACATTATTATAGGTGGACAGATAATGTTGCGGTTCATGAAGCAAAACGTTCTTTTACTCGGTAACGCAGGCGACGTTCTCTAGTAACGAAATTGGCCTTAAAAAAAAAAAAACAAGCTGTTTTGCCGGCTTTGACGTCATCCTTGCGGCAGCGCTATAGATATGGGACGCGGAATTCGGAGGCAAGCACTTCTCGTTCGTACATGCGGGCACGTACGTTTTCTCTTTTAGCCTACCGCAGCAGGGAAAGTGTCAGCGCACATAAATTGCCGCTTGCGTCAAAATAATCACTTTGGGATTCCATGTCACTCTATTTTTAAATGTTTTGCAGAGTGTTCTGTAACTTTGTAAAAATTGTGTCAGCTCAGAAAAGAACATTGTCGCAGCAAAAAAAAAAAAATTTGTAGCGAAGAGTAACGACAAAGGATGAATAAGGTATTAGGGTACTAAACGTATGGACACTCCTATCATCTATACATGCATCGTTTGGGTTATGGGTCACGGAAATCTCGAGGGAAGGGAAGCGACACACACCGCGGCCCGCGTATAACTCAGCGCGGATCTTCACACGATACCTGAAGCATATCCTATTCGGCAACACAGGCAGGTGCAAGAGAATCCGTACCGCTATCGTATCATGCATTACTGCAACATTGTCGGATCGAACGCAGGTCGTACCTTACGCCACACCCAAAACTCGCAAGAGACGAAGGAACCGACTACATGCAGGTGCCTTCAAAGCAACACCTTCACCCACGGCACTATATGAGGTCAACGTTGCATAGCTACATCTGCTCTCACAGCAATGGGGAGACACTCTGGCGCACCTCCTACTGCAGTGCAAGATAAGCGCACCAAAGCTACAAGCAGCGGCAACAGATGCGGGCACAAACCTGCCAAGTGAAGCGTGGGAGGCTGCGATTTCCCAGCCGGACGTGGTCGACTACCGTCAACTCGTCGCTCGAGCTCGGCGGTTGGTCCAGGCCAGAGGGTTCCTGGAATAAGGGACCCTCCCACCTTCACTCACAAGCTTTACACAATAAATGTTCTCTCTCTCCCTCTCTCTCACGCTAGACTTTGGACCAAAAGCGTGTGGTTCGCTAACTATTGTCTCACGATCGAGTGATGTGCGTGCAGTTTTTTTTTTAATTTAGGAACGCGAGGATGTTTTCTGGTTAACCTCACTGCCTTTTCTATAACTTTCTCTCCCCCCCCCCCCCATCGTCGCTCTCTCTGAAGATCATAGCATGTCAACCATCCGCATTGATCAACGTTATATATTAGTCTCTCTTCCATCCCTCAAAGAGGCCTCAACAACGTTTAATTCGCGTTTCTGAATTAACCATGACAAAAATGCACGTATTTAAAAACCACAAAAGATAAAACGAAAAACAACAAAACGCTCTAACTTTCTCGTGCATCCCAAGCAACGCTTTCCTCTTTCACATCTAAGCTGGAAAGCCACTTCGGCGTGGTCTCATGTATGTACACACTGCTCATGGCGTACTTATGCGGCCTTGCGCGCCACATATATCATACTCAGAGCCGCAGTTCGTGACAGTAATCAGACACGACACGCAAGACTGCTCATGGACTACCTGCCTCGAAACGACCGCATAAATAAATAAATAAATAAATAAATAAATAAATAAATAAATAAAGCAAGAACGAAAAAAAGAAAGAAAAGAAAGAAGGAAGGAAAACTGCCCTCAAGCCTGTTTACCGAACGTTTGCCGGCGTCGTCCACCAGCAACAAGCTAGGAAAAGGGTCGCGGAGTGTACTGGACGCATACTAATGGAGATCGGACAGTAGCAGCAAAAAAAAAAAAAAACTGCAGCAAAACAAATCAAAGGAAATCGATAGCAGGAGTCGCGTGTGTTCGTGCGTGTGCTTGTTTTTGTGTATGTGTGTGGTCACGGACGTTACCTGTTTATCTGCGAGCGAAATAGAGCGCGCACGCCGGGCAGAGGCGCAAGGTTGTTATCTAGACTACGAATCGCCATTACACGCAATGCACCCTAATGACATTTTTTTTCTCCTTGTTGTTCCTATAGGGGTGGCTTCGTATAACACGATAGATAAATATTGCCCGTGTTAGTGGCAGCGATGCTGGGAGTGGGGATGTTGTTGTTGTGCAGGTTCTTTGGGTGTCTCTCCGTTCCGTTGTCGTATAATTGATTAAAGAAAGAAAAAGAAATCTATCAGAAAACACAAAAAAGTCTAAGTATGTGCAGAAAACGCTTCAACCACATGATGAGTGCACTAGCTAGTGTGGAAGGTGGAACAGCCTCTGTGGGCGAATAAATAGCCTTCACATTTACGAAAGAGCGGTAATCAAATGGCTACGTTATACTTTTATGAACTGCCATACATGGAGAACAGACTTCCCCTACCTTTATTACTTTCGTTATGATCACCATCTCGCTTATGGCTTTTACTGTGTTTCTCACACGTTATCCACTTCTGAGCCCATCACCCTTAAAGCAATTAATATTACACAAAAACACACAAAAACATAAAAACACAGACACTGAGAAAATAGGGAGGGAACAGGCTGACAAGCTTGCTTGCTCCTTCGGCAAAGATAGAGCATAGAGGAAAGGAAGATAGGGGGGAAGAAAGAAAGTAACACGATGTAAACAAAAGTGTTTATAGAGGTGCTTGAGGGAAAATTGGTTTTGTTTAAGAAATTTGACAGAGCTCCAATGGTCTGGTCATACCGAGCAGCAAACCCTCCTGGGAACAGGAAATCATCGAGAGCCGTGCACTTGGGTCCGTATTTTTTGATGAGCGTTGCTCACCAAATAACGAATGCAGGACGGTCTAAAATTATGCAACCGGGGCTCAGCCATCTGGTAGGAAGAGTCGGAAGAGATAAAATTGGATATAAAGTAAAAATGAAAGTCTTCCTCACTTATTTCAGGAAGTTCGCAATTCTTCATTGCTGTACATCCTTGACCGGTGGATCCATATGCCGCTCCCTCCCATCCTCCCTCCCTCCCTCCCTCCCTCCCTCCCTCCCTCCATCACTCTCTCACTTACTCTCTCCCTCACTCCCTCCCTCCCTCACTCACTCACTCACTCACTCCCTCACTCAAGTTTAGCCTAACAGACATGTCATACGAACTAGTTATTTTTACATATATAGCAGGCATGCACTGCGTTGTGAGAAGGCTAACCGGGTCTGTCTTGTACTTTTCTGCAGGTCCCCCAGCTGTCCTCTGCAGTGAGGCGGCGATCCATTATAGCTCACAGTGCACCGAATGAAGGACAGGCGTTAGCAGCGATGTTCTTTCGTCACCCCAAGTGTCAGCTGAAATTACATCAAGACACTTCACGATAAGCCGTGTATAGATGTCTTCCTTCTTGATCGAGTTAGGGAGAAAGAAAGCAGACAGCTCGACCCACCCCTCTTTCTGTCTAGGAACCAGCGACCTTGTTTTGGAGATTTCTCTGACGATAATGGGGAGGAAGTAGCATGCCCTTTCAGGCAGGCTGCGATTGTAAAACGCGCTGGCTGTCGTTTCTCCATCATGATAACGCTTAGGCAGCTTTTCCCCAACGGACAACTCTTCTCACTCTTCCTTCTGGTCTTCTTGTTTTCCTTTTCTTCTTTCTTTTTACGCGTCTCGTCTTCGTCGATGAAAGGCGTGAACGGAAGCCGATGCTGCAGGGTGAGTCGAGAAAACGGAACGACAGGCTCGTAATTTGACTCAGCCGGGTCGCGGACAGGCGCGAACTCACTTTCCTGCCCGCCAGCGTCGACAAGTGACCACTTCATTACGCCGAGACTCACTGATCGTCTCGGCGCCGTCTTGGCGGCGCTTTATTATACTGCTCGTGCATTGAAAGCCGAGGCGCCAATGACCACATGCTTCGCGTACGGGAGCAAACGCCTAAGGCATAGACGTCGCTTTTCTTAAAAGTTTGTTTACAACGCCAGTTCTGATATACTGGTGAAACTTTCGCGTCTGTACCGTGGAGCCTGATTGCCTATAGCGTCCGTTCGGTCGTAAAAGGAAATCTGCATGGAGTTGGGCGATTTGGACTCGCTCAAGCGAAAAAAAAAAAAAAACCGAGAAGTGGTAAACTTGGCGTCTCTTCCGATGCACGAACTGCTCTAAAGGGTGCCAGTTGTAAATGTAAATGAAATAAAGGTGAGCGAAATAAATAAATAAATAAATAAATAAATAAATAAATAAATAAATAAATAAATAAATAAATAAATAGAAATGGAGAATTAACTTGCTGCCACCAACGTGAAGACCCGTGGATTCCGCTGGTGTCGACAGGTGGTCGGTTAAAACAAAAACAAAAAATCTGAAAAAATTGCTTCTGATTCCCCCTTAGGAATTCGTCTAAAAGACCCAGAGGTGTCGCTGAACGTCGTTGTTTTAGGGAGAATATATTTTGCTAAACAGTATGGAACTCGGTTGAGCTGGGGTCGAGGAAGGTACACCGGGTAAGACGGTTTTCAGAGACTATCTCCGTCAGCCGTAAGGGTATAGCAACGCCGTCACCACTCACTATATACGGAAGCGAGAAACTTAAGACATTTTGCGTGCCAACGACCTGCGTTCATGTAAAACTGTAGGAAGCGGATACTACGAAAGCTGAAATTGCCGGCAGATGTCCCGAAGGCCGAGGCTTGGTTGTCACATTTCGACGAAGGCGAAATACCAGAGACACGTGTACTGTGCGATTTCGGATGTCGGTGAACGTTAAAGAACACCAGATGGTCCACGTTCCCGGAGCCCTCCACTACGGCGTCTCTCATGATCATTTTGTGGTTATGGAACGCAATACCCCAAATAATATTGTTCATTGAGAGACGAGTGACAGTACGCAACAATGTTTCGCCTCTTATACACAGATATGCACGCTACACTGTTGTTATTTGCTTATTATTATTAATTAACTTATTAGTTATTTGCTAAGTGACTGATTAACATTGAGATAGAGAAAACTGGGCAACATTTCCGGTCCTGTGCTCGTATTCACAACAACAGCAGCAAAAACAAAACACAAAAAAAACATGCTATGCTAACAAGATTCTTGAGAGAATAATTCAGCGGATCGTGATGCGGGACTTATAATAAGTGAGTCCGGCCGGCTGAGCGTTGAGGAAATGCGTTTCCGAAAATGAAGCCTCATGAATCAGGCCCCAGATTTTGAGGCTCTCGTTGCCACGTGGACACAGATAGAGAGGTAAACTTTATTAATTTTCGGAATATTGCTGGGCTGGGCTCCCACGAAATAGCGGAGGAATCGTGTCGCCCGGCAGCTTTCTCGGCCTGCTAAATCACCCAGAGTTGCTTGTGCAGGCCCGAACTGAGCAGCGCTGTAGGCCGCGACCCTCCTCATTACCAAACGGCCAACGCAGATAAGGAACGGTGAAGTGCTCCTGTTGACTCCTTTCACTGCATTACGTATATTAGACAGTAATAGTTTAGCGTTAGCGTGATAGCGCAGGTTAAGGGAATGGCGTTACCGTGCAGCTAATGTTCGTTGTTGGCAGCGTCTTATAGTTTAGCGGGATAGCGTTTACATGGTTTACGTGCTCCAGCTGGGATGGTGGCGCCACCTATCAGATGGTTATTAAAATAAACAATGAAAAAGAAAAGAAAACGAGAATGTTTGTCTATGCCACCGCGCGAAGCATTGTTCGAAGTCTATTTTAGTGATAATAAAAGTAAATAAATATGAACCACGCACCAAACGCGAAAACATCTATGTTGCCGGTTTGTTCACGTTGATCTTGTAGTTAGGCCTAGACGCGTTCAAAATGGGAAGCTATCTCAAAAACTACGCCAACTTATCCGTAATACTTGGTCATCGAAGCTAACTGAAGTCAAGCGAATCCACTTTGAACAGTCGTTTACTGCGAACAAGGTGAATCTTTCAACAACTACGTCAAAATCATTTCCAAGCGGGCGTCCGAGAGCGCCGCCATGTTTACGTACACTAAGTACACCTACGTTACCACGGTAACGTGAAACCTGAAGAATACCACGCGTACGGGAAGCGGTACGGGTGAAGTACATATCTGCGCATGCGCACTTCGATTCCGCTATCAGGGTACAACCGGTAACCCGCTAAGCCCGGTATACTATAACTCTCTATTGTTGCACAGCTTGCAGCAGGCTGCAATTACAACCACGACAGATACAGCATAGCGCTTTCGCTCAATGATACACCGATGTGAAGTTCACTCGTCTAAAACCAACGTTATGTCATACGCACTTTCTTGATATGAACGACTGATGACGGAGATGTACAGTCGCGCCCAGTATGAACTGCAACACGCTACCCGAGGTCAAACCGGAGCCAACACTGAACGGTGGCGCCTACATATAATAACATAGGTTGTGTTGCTCATGCGCTTCCCTGGGTTCCAAAACGAAACCGTGCCTTTCGCCGTCATTTGGCTCAACACGGATCATCATCTCGCAACACTGGGCAGCTACGTCACCAGGGTGTGGCAAGAACATCTTCAGTTGATCTAAGCTGAGTGCAGTGGCTAGTCGCACACCACTGCCTTTTACAGCTAGGACCCTATAATTGAACTATGTAACCAAAATATGTAACCCAAGAAAAAGTGTAATCCGATATTTGTAACTTCTCTACTAGAACCAGCAAAGTTTGATTGAATTCCTGTTGTTATCTACCAGGAGAGGGTGTGCTACGACTACGTCGAACACTGCCTTCCAGGCCTGAATACAAGTAACAGATAACATAGGTACTCTTTCGACTGCTGGTATTTCGAAAATCAATTTCGTATTTGCCCGTGTTACAGCATATAGTATATACTCAGGGCCCCTTCAACCACGGCGGCCGTGTTGCAACTAACATTGAGCGCTACTGTACGTAAATTGATGGCCTGGTTGCGAATGCCATGACCGTCGGTCGCTACCGCTGCGAACCAACGCGCAACGAAATTGCCAGTACAACGAACGATTTCTTACATCTGGTCCAAGTTGCAAGCGTTGCAGCGCTATACTTTTTCAACGAACTCACCCATATAACGAGGTAGTTAGAAGGCGCCATCAATTCGTTGTTAAGAATTTTGCCAGTACATCTGTTACTCAAAAATGGGCGCCACCTACACGACGCCAGGACTAAGTGTCTTTCAAACATTGATGAAAAAGTGTATATGAAAAAGTGCTAGGACCAAATCAGTGAAGTGAAGGGGGGGGGGGGGGGTTCACCAGCAAGCCAATGTTTCACGACTCACTGGCTTCAATGGTGTCCTCAGCTGGGGCTAAGCGTTCATAACTTGAGCCGCGATTAACGTTAAGTATACGGTGCCCCCTTTTTTTAAAGAAAAATAAAAAAAAACCTTTGAAATTCTTCCGCATGAGTGCTTCACCGCACAAACTGACAGCACGTCCGCTCCATAGAGCACCGCCGGGAAACCGCCTCCCTCGGGAACACACTTGCTTCCTGGTTCACGAATCTCCCATAATCTTTCTTTTCACTTATATGCGCGTGTTTCTTTCAATATGTTCTTTCTTTTCTTGTCTTCTTTTTGGTCTTCATCCTAAACACGGCACCGACCAACCAGCCGCTTCCTGCTCGCCACTGCCGGCAAAGGGGAAAACTTATTTCGAGGGTCTATCGGCTGCCACTAGGGGGCGCATTGGGTTTTTTCACTTTCTCCCAGAGCAGAGCTTTGCTTTCTATCTTCACTATTATGTTAGTGCACTTTTTTTTTCTTTGAAACGAAGTGAGTTGAGCCTATGGGCTGGATCACCACCTTAGCTCTCCATTTGTGCCATAGAGAGGAAGGCCGTTGGCAAAGCGGGAAAAGGCAAACAGAACTGGGGACGCGATAGAAAAGAGAGTGGTTTCAGAGAAATGAGACGAAAGGCTGAAGACGGAGAGGAGGAGAACTGAAGTAAAAGCGGATGGCGGAGAAAGGAGGGAGAAGTTCTCCATTTTACGCCTCCACGTACGCCGCCGTCCTCCCGCTGTGCTTCTCTCGACGGGCTTATACTTCTCCCGTTGCTTGGCAGGCGGCTCGGTTGGTCGGTGCCAGCTCTTTGATGACCCTATATTTCAACGACGCCACTGGGGTTCCGGCACCGCTGCTTCGCCACATGCGGTCTGCAATTCATGGCACATCTCTCCAAGCCTCGATGTTTTTTCATTGCTCCCTTTAAGTAACGTTTAGTTCGTTTTTCTTCTTTTTTTGCGTGTGTATGTACTGACGATGTAGAATCCAGGCTGCATCCATACAGCGAAATAAATATGTGTTCATGGACAAGTCAGCTTTGGGGCCCCAAAAGATCCGGATCAAAGTACTTGAAGTAGACTTGTATGTTCTATGTATCCTGTTTAATGTAGATGACACGAAGTTCTGTGGGCTATCTTGTTTTGGCCACTTTGTGACTCGAGTAATGGAAGGGCACTCTTTCCATTGACCTGTGCGATCTTAAAAAAAAAAAAGAATGTATGGTTCAGGATGCAAACAACACCGATATGCAAAAAATTATGCCTGGAGGTCATGTTTGTCTGTGTGATTGTGTTACAAAAATAATCCTACCACTTAGCGTTATACTGATCAACCTGTGTGAAAATAACTC